TGCCCTGCCTGTGCTCCCTGACACTGCCTGCCCTGCCCACGCTACCTGCCCTGCCTTCGCTGCCTGTGCTGCTTATGCTGCCTGTCCTGCCTGCGCTGCCTACACTGCCTGCCCTGCTCCCTGCCTGCGCTGCCTGCTGGGAGGGGGCAGAGTCCCCCCCTGCCCTGCCTGCCCTGCCCTGCCTGCACTGCCTGCGCTGCCCCTGCCTGCGCTGCCTGCACTGCCTGCACTGCCCCTGCCTGCACTGCCCTGCCTGCCCTGCCTGTGCTGCCTGCACTGCCTACACTGCCTGCCCTGCCCACGCTACCTGCCCTGCCTTCGCTGCCTGTGCTGCTTATGCTGCCTGTCCTGCCTGCGCTGCCTACACTGCCTGCCCTGCCTGCGCTGCATGCTCTGCCTGTGCTGCCTCTGCTGCCTGCACTGCCTGCTCTGCTTGTGCTGCCTGCACTGCCTGCCCTGCCTGTGTTGCCTGCCCTGACTGCCCTGCCTGTGCTCCCTGCCTGTGCTGCCTGCTGGGAGGGGGCAGAGTCCCCCCACCAGGGGGTTCGACCCCCCAGCGAAGCCGAAAGGGCTGTTCCCAGCCCACTTGGGGGTGCAGCGGCCGTGGGTCCAGCGCGGGGGGTCCCCTGATCCCTCGGATGGGACACGCTCAGCGGGAGCCCCCCACGCTCACAGCACTGTGCGCTTGCGGCGTTGCACACTCCCAGCCTTGCACGCTCCCAGCGTTGCACACCTGCAGCACCACACCCGCACAGCACCGTGCACCCGCAGCATCGCACGCTCAAGGCATTGCACGCTTGTAGCCTTGTGTGCATACAGGATCGCACATTTGTGGCCTTGCACGCTCACAGCATTTCATGCTTGCAGCATTGCACACTTGCTCACAGCATGTCACACTCACAGCACTGTGCACCCACAACATTGCACGCTCAAGGCATTGTAGCCTTGCTTGCATGCAGGATTGCACACTTGCATGCCCATGGGATTGCACACTTGCAGCACCATGCACCCGCAGTATTATGTGCTCAAGGCATCGCACACTTGCAGCCTTGTGTGTGTACAGGATTGCACACTCACAATCCCACACGGTCACAGCATTGCGTGCTTGCACACTCGCAGCAACATCCAGCTGCAGCATGGCACTTCACACTTGCAGCCTTGTGAGTGTATACAGGACTGCACACATGCAGCCTTGCACGCTCGTGGCATTGCACACTTGGAGCCGTGTCAACTCCCAGCACTGCATGTTTGCAGTCTGGCACACTCGCAGCCTCCCTGTTGGCACGCTCAGGGCCTCGCACACTCACAGCCTGACTCTTGCAGCCTGGCACACTCGCAGCCTGGCACACTCACAGCCTGGCACACGTGCCGGCTCCCTGCCTGCCCTCCCGCAGCACAGGCTGGGCCATTCCTCTGCTTTCAAAGGAAATCTCATTCTGATTTTTTTTTTCCCTTTTTAGCAGAATGAAACCCATCGGAGCGGGGGGCGGGGGTTGGGGTGCCATGACTTTGCCCAAGGAGAAGAAAAACCACCATCAAACGGCGATTCCCAAGTCCCTCTCCCAGCGCCCTCCTCCTGCCTTGAGTTCCTTGGGAGGGAAATCAGGGGTTTTTGGATAACCCGAACCAGTAAATGAGTGTTTTGGCAGCGGTTCTGCAGGAGCTGGGGGTGGTTTGTCACCCGCGTGGGGCGATAAGGGCGATCCGTTGTGCACATGAGTGTCCCAGTCCCCAAAGCCTCCCCGACTCCTGTTATTTCACTTTCAAACCATTAAATACCCTCAGAAAAGGAATGAAACACCAAGAAGCCGGAGCTGTGAGTGGGACAGTCCTGTGGAGGTGGTGGCCACACCGCTGCCACCAGGACGGAGGGGCCTCAGGGTGGCCAGACCAGGACCAGGACCCCTGTCAGGGGGGGCTGTCAGGGTGCTGGTTTGGTGCCCACCCAAAATGTGCACAGCTTCGGCTGGGAAAACCTGCCAGGCAGAGGCCTCTGGTGGGTGGGACAGAGAGGACAGATGGGGAAACTGAGGCAGGGATGGCACTGGCATGGCCCCCCCCCCCAACCCC